TCAGAAATATCTGAATATGAAGAGAAGAAAATCAATCAGATATAGTCTGTTAAAATAACTATATACTATCTTTTAATAATTTATTTTGTTACAGTCTCTCTTTACTTTATCTTTTTCTTTCAATTTCTTTCTATCTATCTATTTAATATATCTATCTTTAAGACTGTGTTCTCTTTTCCTTTGTCATGATATTGTAAAATGATTTCAAAGTATCAGAAGATGTTAAAACACTGTAATTTATAAACAGTTTTTATATTCTGAGCTGAAATTTTTTGATTTTGTATATCTGAAATTGATGAATGTATAATAGTTAACTTTACAGATATAGAAAAAACCCTGAGAACTAAAAGTTCTCAGATAGATATCATAGTCTCTGACTGTATACATCTATAATTGAAGAATAATAATAATAATAATAAAATAGCTATATACTATCTTTTAATAATTTGTTTTATTATAATCTCTCTTTACTTTATTTTTTCTTTTCTATTCTTTTCTATCTATTTATTTAATATATCTATCTTTAAGACTTTATTCTCTTTTTCTTTATCATGGTATTTTCAAATAATTTCAAAGTATTAGAAGATGTTAAAATACTGTAATTTATAAAGAGTTTTTATATTCTGAGCTAAAATTTTCTGATTTTATATATCTGAAATTAATAAATGTATAATAGTTAACTCTATAGATATTAGAAAAACTCTGAGAACTTTTAATTCTCAGATAAATATTATAGTCTCTGACTGTATACATCTATAATTAAATAATAATAATAATAATAATAATTATCAGTTTTTAGACATGCTACTAAATGTGATTCAAAAATTGCTTAAGTCAGTGTATAATTACAGATAGACTGATTATATAACTATATCTGAAATTAGAATCAGATTCTTTAATAGTCTTATTATTAATTTAACTGATCTCATTACACAGTTTTAACATTAGATAGTAGTTTCATACTATCTCAGTGAGACTTACTATCTACTCTTATTATATTTTTCAAATAAGATTATAATTTTCACTTCTTCATTTAAATTATTTTTATTACTTTAAATGACTTTAAATCTTATTTAAGTATTATTAAAAAGTGTTACTTTTTAAAAAATTAAAAATAGTCTAATAAAAACCTTAAAATGTCTAAAAATAGTAACTTTATACTAAGAATGAGACTAAATAAGATTAAATGAGATTATTTTCTCATTTTTTTCAAGTCATGATTTCATTTTAAGATCTGATATATAGTCACTTTGCATGTTTTTTTGATAGCTAGTCCCAGCGGGATTCACACCAAGAAATGTATGGGATCAGACCAAATGGGACCAAATGTGAAATTCATGGTCCCGGCGGCCAGTCTAATTACAGGCATACGCCGGCTCCTTATATACATTATACTAAATTAATTAGTGGCCGCTAGGGCCCCTTTACATTCGTAAGCGTGTTCGGAAGCGGCCGCGTTATTATCCGGCGGTCATACGTTCTTCCGAACCACAAGATCTTGTTGCAGGGCCAGGGTGACTGGCGAGCAAGCTTCTATCTAGAGATTCAGTGTCCACTTAACTGGTTGTTCATTTCTCTTATTTCTTACACATTGTTACATGTTTGAATATCTTTTTCAATAGATAATCATTTCTAATGAGGAGACAATGAACATTTTCCAAGTGTAAGAGGCCTACGCCGAATAGATCGGTACTAATATATAGGTCTTATATAACAAAAGTGGAAAACATTAGAGAAGGAAAAAAGAGAAAGTGCGGGAATCAGTGATCAGAGTGGATATTTATAAATGTATGAGGTGGAGCTTCGGAGCGGGAGAATAGGAACTCCGTGGGTTCCTCAGCCAAGGATCAGCAACCGAGAATCAGAGCTTTCGGCAGGAATCCGGCAGGAATCTATGGACACAATTCAATTATTTTCAAATTACAAGTTTCACATTCTGAGTGAATTATTGAGCTAAGTAACTGTTCTCTGAATTAATCATATATATTTATATGATATTCTGTATATAGTTCTAATCTTTAATAGATAATATTAATATCTTATTGCATTGTTGTGCTATGGTTGAAAATTAACCGCTTTATAGAGTGCTTTTTGGAGTTCGTTGAGTGTTATCCTCTAACAATAAGCTAGGGCTTGTGACCTGACATTTTACACTGTGAAAAAAGCCATTTGACACATTTGTCACTATAGGCCATGTTCGGTGGTTGGTTAAGGCTGGGATTCCGATTTCTGGGTGGGAGTATGAGGCTGAGACGGGGAAGGCGAGGATGATTGTTTAGGGGTATGATCTGGCATTTGTTTTTTTGACGTGATGAAGCCAATTTCTATTTAAATTTTGCATATTCTATATTCCCGATGCCGATGCTAAATGTTGTGATGGATTATATCTTTGGTTGTATTTGCATCGCAATTTTTCCCTCCGCCTGTTTTGTCTCCATATATTCAACAGAAGATCATAAAAAATACACACACATATGTATATATAACTAACCAAGAAGGCAGGTCAAGAGAAAGCAACAAAGTAAATCAAGGTCGTAAGGGGGTATCACAGAATCAGATAATCTACTTCAAAAAAGCCTCAAAAAAGAAAATATTCCAACCAAAACTTGCCAACCTCCTCTCAGTCCCAACAATTGACTACCAGTAACTCACCCACTCACCATTGGCGGCACAGCAGGTTGAATCTCCCTAATCTTAAATCCACCCTCATCCTTATCCTCTCCCTTCCGCGGCCACAAAATATGGCGCAACACCACTGCCCGGACCATCATGGCCGTGACAAAACAATAAATCATCAGTAGCAACACGGTCATCACACAGCCTGCGATCTCGATCTCCGGACATTCGAATGCCTTGCCGATGGCGAAGGTGGCTGTCACCAGCGCCGTGTTGGGGAAGACGAATGAGTACCAGGTCATGGAGAAGATCATGCGACCGCGGCTGACGGCTGACCAATGGCCGAAGGTAGCGATGATGAAGAAGAAGATAGCGAGACTGGCGATTTATTATCCTGTTAGCGTTTTCCTTACGCGCGGAATCGACCGGAGGGGTGGGTGGGCAGTTGTTGGGAACCAATGTGCATGAATAAAAATAAAAAATATAAAGATACTACAAAAAGGACATACCCCCAAAGCCACAACGCGGCAAAATTCGCCACGAACCGAATAACCATTGCCGCCAATGGGCCATCACCCATGAAATGCGGCGGGAACGCCCGTTCCGCATTGCTTGCCATGCCCACCAAGCCAGCAACCGTGAACGCGCTCGGCCCCACGGAGACAAACATACCCGGCCGCAGGTTTTCTTTGGGCAGCTTCTGCGTCATCAGCCTGTATATGAATGCTGAGTACACTGTCAATGAGACGAGGAAGCCGACGCCCTGGATGGTTGTGCCGCCGACTATGATGTGGAGAGCCCGTCTCTGGGATAATGTGCCGCTTAAAACGGCGGCGTGTGATCCGATGATCAGCATCGGGTACGCGGGAAATATCCATATGGGTGTCATTTGGGCGATTGTGAAGGTTTGTGTTGACCATCTATAAAATCACCCCGAGTCAATGGATTATTCGGTTGATAAATTTTGAATTTGTGATAAGGTACGCACATGGTCAGGTATATGCCGGCGGAAAACATCACGGCCAGAGTAGCGTTGAACCAGAATAGGATCCAGGTAGTCGTATCCAGCCATTCACCAGTTCTTGGAGGGCCATATTGTGAGATGTTGATGAGAATGGTTCCGAACGAGACGATCGCCGCAGGAACGAATAGAGACTCCGTGGGATGCATGAAGGATGCTTTGAATGTATATGGGTAATGATAGAACCGCGTGAGAAGCAGGCCCCAGATGCAGCAGTACAAGACAATATTGATGAGCATTATTACGATGCCTATTTTATCCAGGCCGGGGAAGCGGTATGGAACTAGTTGACCGTTTAGCATTCAATCAGGAGGTTAAATAGAAAATAAGACATAGAAAAATAGTCAATATAAATCGATATAACATACTAAAATATACCACATTTGCCAACCCCCCAGTCGCCATCGTAAGCGTGAAAAAAGCCCATGTAAAATGTCGAATTCTTTCTTTCCAGGACAGCTCCAGTAACGAAGAAACATCGTCATCGAAACTATTGAAGCCGTTGGCCCCGTTGTCCGACTTAACCTCATTAAGTTCTGTCCCAGCGGCCGTGGCATCGTGTGCGGCGCTGTTTCTCGAAGTATTGGTCCGTTGGGATGCGCGGGAGCGAAGCCGTTCAAGGACGGGAGAAACGGGAATGTCTGACTGCGATGTTGGGACGCAGAGCAATTGCTCTGGGAATGGGAATTCGGAGTCGACTTCCTCGACATCCTCGATTGTAGGCGTGCGATATCCATCATCGCCCGGTCGGCGGAGGTGCCGTGGAATTGAATTCGGCGACAGCATCACCCGCTCGCAAGGGGCGGGGCATGTATGCGCGCTCGCACTCGTTTAGGGGGAAGGTTTGAACGACAGCTGAACGGCAGATATGTTTATACAAGATTAAGAGCCTGTATGGGAAGGGTTTACTAATGTTGTGTCGTTCATTATAACTTTAGCGATCAAGATAGGTACATATATCCCTATTGTTAAAACCAGTCTGATATTGATAGGATAGCAAGTCAAAGAAGAGCTGAAAATTGGGCGGAAGCACGGATTGAAATATACATCTGACATCAACGGCAGCAAAAGAAAAGAAAAACAGAAAAGAAAGAAGAGAAGGAATATAAAAATGATATCTGAAGAGGGGTAGCCGAATACTTTCCTTTCCCCCGCCATTTTTATCTGGTCAGAACGGCGCAAACCCGGTTTGCTTCGACATTTTTTCGGATCCTCAATGGAATAGTTATCCAGAAAGTTGGGGAGCGAATAGGAATCTCAAACCAGGTAAGTAAGTTAGTTTGAATCCCAGCCTTAACTCACAAGATTGCCACAGCGGGCGTTCCATATTTAGCTGATTAAGCGGGACGGACGGGGTAAAGGATGGCTAGCGACGAATAATATCATGGTGGGTTTTTAGTTAAATATAAACTTAATGATATGTCGATAGGTATATAGACAAATATATACATTATACATATATTCCACAATAAAATGGAAATAGTATATAAAATAACAAAAAGGAAAAAAAAGGGAACCACCTCGTCTAATTAACCAAACCCAAACCCGACGACGTACCCCGCCGGCTCTATCATATCCAATTAATTACCTGGTGAATGAGATACAACATTCACGCCTTTATATATTTGGCGAGAGCAGATCGTACTTCACGCACTTCTCGACGCTCTCAATGCTCGCCTGCAGCAGTGTCCGCGCCTCAAGCCCAACCCATACCTTCAGCATTGACGTGTCGCCTTCCCGCACGGATTTGAGTAATGTCGTGCCTGATCCAAGTTGGCGGAGGATGGGAAGTGCACTACCGATCCAAGTCAGAATGTTTTTGTATAGAACATAGTTGAGAAAAGAAAATTGAAACCGAAAAAAAAAAAAAAAGAGCGAACCTCTTAAACAAATCCAATTCGGGATCCATGCTCCGCCCAATACCCTCCAGCAGAAGTATGGATATGACGACATTGACAAAATCTCCCTCAAGCCGCACGTGGTGTGCGCGCACCATATACAACACCTGGCTCAGTACATCGCCAATCTTAACATTACCCAGTGCAAACGTTCGCCCCTTCACCGCCAACACGAGGTGTTGCATCTTCAACGCAAAGATCTCCGGGTCGATTACTGCGTCCGGCTGTCGGCACCGTTCCACCATTAGCTGGCCAGATTTGTATCCGTCAAACTCAGCCACCGCACGGAACAGGTCGAGGAAGTTCCGGCGGTTGTGGCCGTTGAGTTGTGTGACGAGGCCTGTGTCAATGAATATGAGCTGCGGCCGATAGCCTTCCTTGTCGATCTCAGAGAGAACAGCCTTCCACTTCTCCGGGTCCCCTTGGTGAGGCCGGAGACGGTCAAGGACAGATTCGGTTTCGTCGACTTGGGTTATTTCCCTCGCAACTGTGCTTGGTTGATACGTCTTGAAAGAAAGATCGAGTTGACCAGGTTTGTAGAAGCGGACCATGATATTCCCTGGGTGGAGATCAGCATGGACGAAATTATCGATGAGAAGCATGTGTAAGAAGGCGTCGAGGCCCTCACGGGCGATTTCCTGCTGATACACCCCTCCCCCGCTCTCGAGAAATGTAGACAACGGGATCCCCTGGGCGAATTCCTCAACTAGTACCTCCCTGGTTGTATACTCAGTATACGGATATGGGAACGAAGTCGTTGTCCGCGACTTAAAGTGGTTACGGAAAATCTGGAGGTTTGCAGCTTCAATCCGCATATCTAGCTGGAGTCGCATCATGTTTCCAAACTGCTTCACCTCATCGGGAAATGAAAACCACTCCATTGTGGGAATTGCATTGATCAGATGTGCAAAAAAGGCCATGATCCGGACATCTCGCCGCACAGTTCTCTGCACGCGAGGATGGAGCACCTTGATCGCAACGTACGATGAGGGCACCCGGTGCGGGCTACTCTTAACCAGTGTATCCACATTCTTCCTCAACTTGGCCCGCAGATTCTGTGGTTGATCGTCCCGGACTAGTTTATCTTGTACACAAAGATCCGGACGCAGCTTTGCTTTGTATACTTGTGCAATAGCCCCAACCCCGAGAGGCTTCTCGTCAAATTCTTCGAAGATGTCTTCAAAAGGCATGTTGAAAGCTTTGCTTATAATCCTCTTCGTAGCATGTAATGAGTGGGCCGGGGCATCAGAATGCAATGAAGACATCTCCGCGCACAGCTCCGGAGGGAATATATCAGACCGCGATGCCGCCCATTGACCTAGCTATTACATTAAAACCCAATACTATTAGCGAATTCCATCCACCCCTAATACTATCAAACTATACATTCGCGTCCCCATCCAGAGTTTAAAAAAGAAAAGAAAAAGAAAAAAAAAAAGACCAAATAAAAGAAGAGACCGCATACCTTAATAAACGCCGCCCCAGCCCTCTCCATCCCTCTAACCAAAAACGCATACCACCAAAGCGTCCCGCTCCTCTCCCCATCCCGACTCTTCACCCGCCCACCAATCCAAATAACCGGCACCGTCGCAATCACCGGCACAAATATGACAATGAGATGCAAAAGCCGCATCGCCGTCGCCACGGGCTCCGCCACATACCGATCCACGAATATATATACACTCCAGCAAAACCGGACGATCACGTGCAAGTCGTCCGGAATCACGCGCAGGGCTTCCTCACGCGATGCGGCGAGCATCTCACTCTCAGCAGTCGTGGTGTCGTCCTCTATGCCGTTCTCAGCCAGCTGGAGGAAGGCAGCTGGGGTTAGAGTAGCGGCAATGAGGAGGGCTGTTGTGCGGGGGTAGGCATCGGGCGGGCGACGAGGGGGAGGTGGAGGCGGAGGGAAGCGGTAGTTCCGCCATTGAAACTTGTAGTGCTCAAGGAATTTCCCGCCATGATGCTGGCGGGATAATTGGCGTATGATGTATCTAGAACCGGGTAAGGTTATGGTAGAGGAGCAGAGGCGCGGATAGGTTGCGGAGGACGGCGGTATTTGTGGTAGAGGTGCAGGACGGAGACGACCAAGCCAAAGGGCCGTTCTCATGATATCGCGGATAAACGGGGATTTCGTTTGGAGATGGTCATTAGCTCGTCCTGCTCAATATATGGCTATGGCTGAGTGACTGTTGCTGCTGTTTCATGATTCTGTCGATTGCCTGAATATTGGCGGCGGAAGTTGGTTGGTTTGGCCAGACGTCATATTTAGTCCATGTGAAGCTTATTTAACTGAAGTAACTAAGTTAGTTAACTTTAGTTATTTAACTACTGGTGCACCAGACTATCAACAAACCAGCCTGCATATTATACTCCGTATTTAACTTATTTAACATGAATACCCCCTGTCTACTACCCCTTTTCTGACACGGTAAATATAAAACTTCCACAATAACCAAGCAGCCGCACACATTTGCTCAAACTTCAGGCCCTCAACACACACAATAGTCCACACAACCGGCAATGATTAAGAGAAAACGGAGAGCGCTCGATTTCAGTCAGTGACACGAGAGTCTGACAATGCGGATAGAATTATGGACATCTAGCGAAGCGCACCTCACCCAGACGCATCAGTGATTCCAATTCCATTTATCGCCGTCAACTCGAGCTATGGTGCGGTCATATTCATAGGATCTGTTGTTATACCCACTAAGCCACTAGTTTGCTGCGTAGCGACGCTGGCACCAAGCAAGAGGAACCCCAGCACATCCATTATCACCAGAGCCCCGGAGGAGAGTCGGGAAATCGGGCGGCTCAGGAGCGTGATGGCCCAACATGCCTACATCATCAACCACATTACATTCCTGTGTAAACTATGCCGTAACATATAAATATGAGGAAACTAACCGCAGTATATGTTGCTGGATAGCTGGTGATGGACTCTGGTGAGATGGCAGGAAAATCACAATTACAATAAAGGAGGCTGCCCGTATGGTAGCTTGCGCGAAAGCAGAAGCCTGAGGGTATTGAGAATGTCTGTGACCTGCCATGCTGGTCCTGGTGAGACTACAGAAAAACCAAGTTAGTTGCCTCAGAAAGAATTATTCCTCCTATTCTTGAAAAGCTGACAGGTGATCCTCTTACGCCTCCGATAGACAGCCAACATGTCAGCTAGCTTGGCATCAAGGGTAGAAGATTGCCTGGGAGCAAGGTTGTGATTTGAATGTTATCTCATTTCTCTGTCATTGGAGCTCGGCTAGAGGGGGAGTCATCAGATATGAGAGTGAGACGCAACATATAAAATTGTACAAAAGAAATATATATAAAAAAAGTTATGCACATGGACCTCAAAACCAAGACCAATCGCCATCCATTTCGATCTATTATTCATATATTATGCCATGAAAAATAAAAACCCCAACCAGTCAAAGTAGCCAGGCATTCTATAGTACACGCTCTATCGTACATTAGACATAAGCAGAATGCTCATTATAAAAATACAGCTCTCATCTACCGACGGAATAGTGGACAAGAGAACACCAATATTAACACATGAAATAGCATTTTATGCCAAAAATGCATAGAGGAGCGACCCCGGGCCGGGAATATGGGAATGAGAAGCTAGAATAGCGGTCCGTGTCGGCGAGCGAAGTTAGGAATGTGTCCTGCGAGAACGGAAGTTATGCTAGTCGATGCTTTGTAGTGGCGGAAGTGTACTCGATTCAGAGTGGGAGAGCAAATCAATCAACTTGGCAATGAACATTTCGCGAACCGGATCGGCACTGGCATGATATGTTCTCGGTATCACACGATGTTTTTGCTTACCCGACCGTCGAGTTTTGGCGTCGATAATAGACATCTCTTGGAATGCGGAGGAGAGAAACTGCCAATGAGAAAGATGGGAAATTAGCTTATAACCAGGTTTTTCGCTGAGGAAAAGGGCCGAAATCGAACGGAATCAAGAACGGATCTTAAAAAATAAATTAAAATAAAAAAGGGAAGCGGAAATACAGAAACATACGTGATCCAACAACTGCTTGTATTTCAACAGAATTCCCGCCGCAGTTTCTGGGTCCTCGTGGCCGCCCTCCTCAACCTCGACGTTGAACGGTAGCCAGCCATCCATGTGCAATATCCTCCCTTCGCTTTGAATCTTCTCGCCAAACAGGAGAGCCATCAATGGCGTGATACGCGAGGTTGGATACATTAGTTTACCCTCGTTGGAAATAATGAATCGGGAAAATGTCATCAGCGAGCCTAATGTCACTCCCGAATGTTGGAGATTATAATTGGCACTGTCAGGGCTTATAGATAGGATATCATGACGCTTGGATTGCCATCGGTTCCAGACAGGGCCATTTAAAACGCAAGTGTTTGGATATAGTCCACCAGCAATGATTGCTTTGACGAGGGCAACGTTGGATGAGTTCGTATTCAGTCCTCTGCCGCCAAAGGGGTCGTCGGTAATCTCGAACGGGTCACGTTGGTAGGGTATTAACCCATTGTCCGAGAGAATTCCCACGGTCTTCTGAGTACTGGTTAGAAACTGCTTGAAACCTGAGAACCGGATAGAATTTTTCTGACAATAATCCAGTGCCGCCTCATTTCCCTCCCCTCTTAAAATACCGAGGAAGGTTCTGAAGGTATTAATCTCCGCGATGTGATCACTGCCACTCTTCTGACCAGACATCTTCAGCTGTCCGATTCCGTCAGCGAAGAACGATTGCGGTTGTAACAGAATGTCGGTGATGAGTATGGGTTCCAAACAACGGAATATTATCCCCAACATAATCAGTTTACCGCGCTTTGGATGGATTGGCAGCGTGCTAACAAGACGGCCCAGAGGTGTCAAATTGCCGTCATTGTCCATGGCTCCCATGCTCTGGAGACTGGACAAGGCGGCATCCACGGAGGAAAGCAAAGGGGGTTCGGGAGCACTGAGAAGAAATCGCCTGACATCGTCGCTCAATCCTGCTGCCTTAACCCGCAGGCAGACCGTCTGGAGATCGGTTCGACGCAATTCAGGAACTGCCGCCTTTCGCAATGCCTCATATCTAGTTTCCGTGAATAATGCGTAATAATGGCCATTCCGTACTAGGCCCGCGTGAGCAGCTCTTGCGTCAGAAGTTGATTTGCTAGCCCAGCGAGCGCTAGGCTTTGACCACAATTGTTCCGGGTAATATACTGGTTGGTTAACCAGGCCAACATCCACGACATGTTTCACGCCCAGCGGAGCAGTCGATGCTTCGTCAACGTCCTCGCAGAGTATAATTTTGCGGCAACCGGGAGGCACAGTTTGGGAGATCTCGGGGTTTACCGTGTCACGAAAGTAGAGTATTTTATATTTCGACCGGTCCCTGAAATTGACCTTGAGTGGACGATCGTGCAGCAGTTTCTCTGCGACGTTTCTCATATTGTTATGTCCAGGTAGGAATACTAAGATTGGGCCTTTATTGCTGGTCTTAGCGATATGCGCGATGATGAAGGCAACCAACCCAACGGGGACTGGAGGGGCAATTTCGTCGAAAGCAACCCTCCAGTTATCTCCCCGCGGATTTGATTCAATCTTGTCACCTGAATCCATGGAGCACATGTTTTCGGGTTCACGGATTTTGGTGGCCTCTTCAGCAACGAACGTTTCTTCATTGGACAAAAACTCTTGTGTCCTTCTGTCAGCGAAAAAGGGTTCCAGTTCATGCGGAGTATACTTTTCCTTTAAGGTTTGCACCATATCGTCAAGAAAGTGATGTTTAACGACATGATCTTGGTCGCGAATATGTAGTAAGGGCCACTTTGTTTGGCCGCCGGAGTAGTCAGATTCAAACTCAAGGTACCTTCCTAGAAGGGACGTATCGATTTCGGGGCTAGAACTCATTAAAGCAACTTGGGGAACAGATTCGTCTGTCTCCAAACGAGCCATCATTTCCCTTTTGAGTACGGTTAGGAGTAAATCCGTGTCAAGATCCCGTTCATGTAAATCATCGATAATCAGATGGGAAATGTTCCCTAGCACTTCATTAGGCGCATGTTGAAGCAGAAGCAGTAGAACCTCTGTTGTACTATACGTAATACTGCCCTTCAGCAGCGGTGCTCTGCAAATCGACATAGTATGATACCCGACGGTATCACCAACAGTTCTAGCTCGTTCTTTAGCAACCTCGGACGCACGGGAGATCGCACCACTATCGGAACGCTGGGCGATGAGAACGTTACAATCGGGGCCCTCGTCATGCTGGATCGCGTCATCAAGTAGTATTTGTGGTATTTGAGTAGATATACAAGACAGAGGTGATCCCGTCACAATACTGAAGATATGTCTGTTGATAAGTTCAAGGACTTCATTGCGATACGAAAAAATGGGCAGTTGCTTCATTTTCCCTCGGTCCATTTTCATTAGTTTCTCTAGGTTGCTTTTCAGTCCTTTCGATTGTTCCAGAGTTGCCTCTGGGTCCATAGGGGACCTGATTCGCTTCCGAAACTGGTCCACGGGTGCTAAATCAACGCCTGGATCTCCTGTTATTTCTGGGAGACCTGCCTCCTCTGTCCGGCTGAGGCTGTCATGAATGGAGGCTAAACACTGTTGTCCCAAAGGGAGGGACACTGGGTGGATATGAAGAGCAGGAGTTTCCGTGAGATTTGCCAATCCTTTCAGAAACAATGGCAATGTTTCCGGGTGATTCCGTTGAATCTCAACAGCGATAACAAGGTTAGCAATCCGACAAATATCTCCAGTGCCAAAGTCTGAAATTGGGCTGCAAAGCTCCACTTTAGACAACACAGGCGTTGCAGTTTGTTTGATCCCGCGGGACTCGAGAGCGGATCTAGCAGGGATGATTATGATATAGGCTTCGAGTCCGAGAGTTTTGTGGGCGAATGCTACAAACTCCGTCGAATTTTTGGTGCTAAGCGCCCGAAAATGAGAGGAAATTTCATCACTGTCTCCCAGGCGTTTTAGATATTCGTCGGCTTTGAGCATAAACCATCTGTTAGCACTTGCGTACGCGATGCTCGCATCGTCATTGATCCCAACCGCTTTAATCTGATGCTGATGGAGTGAAATTGTAACTGTTTTTTCAGTATCATGGCCAGTCGACACCAAGGGATAAAGTAGAAACCTCGCGGCATAATTGAACGCATCTTCCTGGTTGACTCCCATAAGCAACACACCCCTCTCCTGCTCCTTCTCCCTCTTCTCCTCCTTCTCCACGTCCATCTTTATCTTCGCCTTTCTCTCCATCCTTGCCATCCGTTTCTCTTTGTATTTCTCTCTCCGTCTCTCCCTCCTTTCCGCCCGTCTTCTCGCCCTCTCTTTCGTC